AAGCTAATTAATTACAAGAGCAACTACACAAATACAATGTATATAAAAGTAAATATAAGCTCGTGTAAAGGGGATACAAACCAATGGGAAGAAAAGGATGACACGGTGATTTTTATCCCGAGGTTCACGTGCTTGTCAACACGCTACTCCTCGTTGTGTAGACCGTTCACTTGGTGATTTGGCGGCTAATTGGCACCACACCAAGCCCACACGTTAGGCGCAACAAGAACCTATCCTAAAAGTAAGGGTAGCTCAATGGCGCGCTCTACTAGTGTTGTTCTTCGTGGCTCCCATGGGGTGAGCACGATACCTGTTGGTATTTTTAAATGCACACAGATAAATCTGCAAGCGCACGGATACCGTTGTAGCTTTCACCCAGAAGTATTCTAGAGTATCGTATTTATCCACAGGGAAATAATGGTTAAAGAAGTCGACAATTCACCATCATGTATCTACTAACTAGTATACCAACTAAACTAAAGTGAGAGTAAGTGATGATAATGATAACAGTTATGAATAACACACACATAAGATAATTCCATGGTAAAATAAATGAGCAGTCTAGCTAAGTAAAGAGGACAATAGGTGAGTTCAAGGTTCCTCAATACTTCTCTATTACTTTAGTTCTATAGGGTATAACTAATTCATGGGTAGATATAGCGATCACATACAATAACACTTTAGAGCAACAGTACCTTTTCAACTCTTGAGGGGGTGAGAAAGCATAGTTGGGGGAAGGCTGTCTAAAGCTCTACGAACACCAATCCTAACATGGTGGATTACAATGGCCTGACAGAGCTGTCACCCTAGGGGCTACCACAAGTAACCATAGGATTAAGCGCAATCTCAGGTAACCTATAGTCTAGACACTATGTCTATACTACGGATTACTACTCTAGTCACATATGATAACTAAAGCACTCGATGTGAGCGGAGATCCCATGTTAAGGTATGATAACTATATTAATGCATAAGTCTTGCAAAGGTGAGATACAAAGATATACCTGACCTCTGAAGATTTCTTTAGAACCTAAGCATGGCTCAACTCTCCCTAACTCTCAACTAGAGCTATTCTACTTCTATATCTTAAGAGCTGGCTCTGATCCTAATGAAGAGGATATGAATTAGGGTTTTAAGATGGCTCCCCAAGAGGGGGTGTAGGGTTGTATATATAGGAGGTAGCGTTAATTCTAGATCCTTGGATCAAACTGAGTTAAAAGGATGGCGTAGATGCAATCTAGAATGCGGTAGAGAACCGACATTCGAAGGGGAGCCTGACAGGTGGGGCCCACATGCTGGTCGGCCTAGTGGTGGGGCCGGCCGGCCCCCCTATCAGCGTCGTGGCTCGACCTTCGATGAGTTGTCTTCTAGATGCTTCTAGAGTCTTCCCTAGTCAGTGTCGTCGCGAATAAATGTGATTTACTTTGAGGAATAGGTCCACCTTGATAGTTTCTGATTAAATCGTCCTACAAACACAGATTCATCAAAACTCATGGAATTTATTAGTTAAAACCCCTAAACCTATGTTTAGTGATAGAATTAAGTATATAAGTAGGATATATTAATGGTTTAGGATTGACATTAACAACCGTCAACAGTACCCTCACAAACCTTCTCCGCAGCACCGCACAAGCTTCCTTGCGTGCTTCGATAGAGACCACCACCAAGCTGTCTAAGAGGTGGCAACCTCCAAGAGTAACAAGCACCACCGGCTTACAACTCGATCATCTAGTGCCACTCGATGTAATCTCACAATGCAATACACTAGAATCACTCACTCGCAATCGGATCACACTCTTGCAAACATAAGTGAGTTAGAGGGCATCCAAACACTCCTACACAAGCCACATTATTGTGAGGGTGCTCAGCTACTAGCCCAAGGCTGGCTAGTGCTTGGTTTTTAAGCCAATAGAGCCGTTATACTCCTTCACTAGGTAAAACTCGGGGCAACCGAATGTGCTACCCTAGTGTCCAATCACTGGATGCGCGCCACGCATCTCCCACGTTCAACCACAACCGCGCGATCCCAACGGTTACTTCACCTCGTGCCAATGGTTAAGTGATGACCGAACTCGCTCAAGGCCGATCAAACGCACCGAAGCAGAGTCCGATCGCGCGAACCTTCACACTCACGCTACCACCACCCTGATCGTGATGCGCGCGCCACACAACCTTCGCGCACTCACTCGTTTAGCTGTCGTCCGGTCGTGGTCAAAAACCATACCGAGAGCTCCCGAGGTGATTGGACGATCAGTCACGGATGACCGGGCGCGCTCTAGAGTCCGGTCCTCCCACGCCTCAGCGTGCCACGTCATCAGACGTCGACAACGACCGACACACCCCCTACGCATTCAGTCCTTCACTTGAACCTGAGTCCGATCATTCTTGCAACTTGCCCGAGCCAAGGGTCACTAACCGAACACGTCCAGTCACGCTAGACCCAGCATCCGGTCACACCTAGTGACACCTTTTCATCTCCTTTTCTTCACCAAGTTGATCCACAACAACTCTAACTTCTTCTCATTTAAAAATGTGCCAACACCACCAAGTGTACAACACCATGTGTATGTGTTAGCATTTCATAAACATTTTTTAGAGGATTAGTCAGTCAATTCACCACGCACTCGATCCTAGCAACAATGCAAAGTGAGATCACTCGAGTGGCACTAGATGACCGATATGCAAATAAGTTTGCCCCTCTTGATAGTACGGCCATCTATCCTAAATCCAGTCATAAACTTCTCTACACACCTATAACTAGTGAAATGAAATGCTCTATAGGTTATACCTTTGCCTTGCGTATTCTATTCCATCTCCTTCGATGTTAATGCAACACATGCACCAACCATATCACAAATGATATGACCCACTTCATATCATCACATAACCTTGTTGGTTCATCGATCTTGACCTCACTTGCTTTTCACCATTGTCTTCGTCCATTGGCGTCAAGTCTTGCTCAAGCTTCACGATCACGCGGTCCATCGCTCCAAATCTTCCAGCTCGTCCTTCACGCTTGCAACTAGTCCATCAAGCCAAGTCTTGTCTTGATATTCTCCTCCTTAGTCACATGACTCAATGTCATGTCTCATATGCAATGAGCTCCTTCATCACATGTATGAGCCTTGCAACAAGTCTAAGCCATTTCACCTCCATGGCATAGGTTGCTTACACATGATGTACTTGTGGACTAATCACCTATGTATCTCACTCAAACACATATTAGTCCACCTAAGATTTTCACTCAATTACCAAAACCAAATAAGGACCTTTCATAGGCCACCTTATCTTTTGGTGGGTCGCCAGAAAGGTGCACTAGAGGTTGGTTCCAAAGATGATGTTGGAGACTCGGTGGAGGAGATTAACACTCACCAGAGCTCCCCATCTGAGCTTAGATCTCCAACAGTTAGCTGTAATGGCTAATCGACATGGCATCACTGGAAATCTCTAGTGGGGTGTCGCCGAAGCTCTTCGGTGAGTACAGTTTTTGCAATCCGAAATACCAACGGTTAGTTTGGGGCATTGGAGCCATTGAAACCCTAAATCAGCTAAATGGTGATATGTCAAGGTGTAAAACAAGAAAATCAATTTGCCATCATTTACATGGAAAAATATTGAGGAAACATAAGGTCAAAGACAATCTACAGACATAACTCACATTAGTGAAATCGAGTTCAGAAATAAAATTCATCAATTTAGGTCAACCATGAAAGATAAAATATATTTTGAGGGAAACAATTGCAGGTATTGATGCAAAAAAAAAAACAAAAAATGTTCCATCATGCTATCTTAATTCTTTCCCGGGTGAATTAATAATTAGTATCCCTTTATTTTATTTCCTAAACAGTTCAGTACCAAAATAGGAGCCGCACACCTGTCCATATAATCTTCAATGGCAGCCAAACTCAACACAAACAGCCTACGGATTCAATCTGATACTTGTCGATGCAATGTAATCGATAAGTCACTACTCCTGCTATTTCAAATTATAAGTCGCTTTAACTTTTTGGTACATTTATTTTGTTATGCATCTAAATACAATAATATGTTTAGATACATAGCAAAATGGATGAACAAAAAAGTCATAGCGACTTATAATTTAGAACGAATGGAGTATTACATAATACTCCCTTTGTCCCTGAATAAATAAATTCCTGGAGTTGTCTTAAGTCAAACTTTTTAAACTTCGATCGAATTTGTAGAAAAAAAATCAAGATTTATGATATCAAACTGGTATCATTAGATTTTTCATAAAATATATTTTCATAATGTGCTAATTTTATGTCATAGATGTTATTACTCTTTTCTATAAAGTTAGTCAAACTTAAAAAAATTTGACTGGCACAGATTCTAGAAATTGATTTATTTAGCGACAGATGGAGTATTTTTTTTGAGAGAAACTATTACATAATATTTCTTTTAATATAATAATATTAAGTTAGATAGTAGGTTGTGATTTAAAAACCATCTACATTCATGGAGCCCGTGCTTTTCCTTTTTTTTTCATCTTAAGAATATTAAACTTTACTTCACATAATACTTTTTCGTTTTTGTATTCAAGGCAGCTTCATGTAAAATTTTTAGCTACATAAAAAAAAAAAAGACCCGCGCAACGCACGGGTTGATGGACTAGCCCTCGTGCAGGTGTAGCAATCAAACATACAGGCCCTAAAGCAGGGGAGGGAATCAATGAGAAGGCTGCAATGATGGTCAAAGTACAAACACCTCCGTACACATCACAAGAATCTCCCTGCAGACGGCCCCGTTCAGCTGTTCCCACTCCATTCCCATACACAGGGCCCAGCACCAACCCGTGCCGCCCAAACTCTCCTAATAATCCAGCGATGCCATCTGAAAGCTCTCTCCCAAAGTGATGATGCATGACTGACCAAGCTAAAAAGTTAATAATCACCCTACTAAACAACATTTTTTTTTGCGGGTAGCCAGCCTACTAAACAACACGACCAACTGCTGCTACGGTCTTGCACGCACATCGGAGTTCAGACGACGTCCTGCGCCGTCGCCGGGCCGACTTCGCCGCCCGCGGCGGCGGCCACCTGGTTCCGCCGCTCGTCCAGCGCGTTGCTCACCTTGGCGTACCCGTGTCTCGCCCAGTCGTACCAGTGCAGCGCGACGTAGACGCCGAGCCCGGCGATGATGCCATTGGCGATGGAGAAGGAGAGCGGCATGAGCGCCATGGTGACGAACGCCGGGACGCCCTCCTTCATGTCGCCCCACTCGATGTCCCTGGCGACGCGCATCATCATGGCGCCCACGAGCACCAGCGACGGTCCCACAGCCCAGGGCGGCACGCTCATGAGCAGCGGGCCGAAGAAGAGCGACGCCAGGAACAACGCGGCCACGGTGATGGCGGTGAGCCCCGTCCGGCCGCCCTCCCGGATCCCCGCCGTGGACTCGATGTAGGTGGTCACCGTGGAGCTCCCCAGCCCCGCGCTTAGCACCGTCGACCCGGCGTCCACCAGGAACGCGCGGTACTCGCCCTCGAACGACCCGCCGCCGGCACCGTCGCCGTCCACGACGAACCCGCCGTACTCGGCCATGGAGTACATTGTCCCCGTCGTGTCCAGGACGTCCACGTAGAGGAGCGTGAGCAGGGCGAGCCAGACGTTGCCGTGCCGGAAGCCGGCGAAGCTGACCCGCCCCGCGGTGGTGCGGATCATGTGGAAGTCCACCACCTTCTTGAAGTAGTCGAAGCCGGCATTGCCCGCGGCCGTGTCCGGGAACACCGTCACGGCGGTGCCCCTGATCCAGGACACCACGGTGACGAAGACGATGCCGTAGATCATGCTCCCTTTCACGTCCCTGGCCAGGAAGGTGGCCGTGATGAGGAAGCCGACGGCGCCGAGCCAGAACGTCGGGGACCGCATGGTGCCGCTGAGGCAGGCGCCCGTTGCCGGGTCCACGTCGGAGCAGGCCGTCAGCGTGACCAGCGTCGAGGGGCTGGCGCCGACGAGCCCGACCCCCTGGTGCGCCTGCAGGCCCGTGAAGGCCAGGAACAGGCCGATCCCCACTGCCGAGGCCAGGCGGATGTTCCGCGGGATCATCCGCGCCAGCCTGGACCGGAGCCCCACGGCGGAGAGCGCGAAGAAGACGACGCCCTCCAGCATCACGACCGCCAGCGCCGTGCGGTAGCCGATGGGGCCGGAGCCGTGGAACCCCACCATGTTGTAGGCGAAGTAGGCGTTGGCGCCCATCCCGGGCGCCAGCGCCAGCGGCAGGTTGGCGAAAACGCCCATCGCGAAGGAGCCCGCCATGGCGGCCACCGCCGTCGCCACGATCAGGTCGCTCTTGGTGCGCGCCAGGCACTGCTCGTACCCCGGGTTCGCCCCGACGACAGTGCACTCCGGCCCAGGTGGCGTGGTGGCGGTCGAGTTGTTGGCGGTGGCCACGACGGGGGTGCAGTCCCGCGCCGTGCACGGCCCGCCGGAGTCGGTGAGGACGGCGGCGTTGACGGAGATAATGTAGGCCATGGTGAGGAACGTGGCGGCGCCCGCGCGGAGCTCCTTGGTGAAGGAGCTCTTGCGCGCCTCCAGCTTGAAGTAGGTCCCCACGCGGCTCCCGGCCACGGCGCGGTTCACGGCGGCCTCGGCCGCAGAGAGCCTGCTCCATGGCCCCGTCGCCTTGGACGTCGCCGTCGCCATTATCTTCGATCTTGCTGGTGTTGGCTTCGTCGATCGTTCGTTCTCCCCTGGTATGGTACTACGAGAGTTGAGCTGTGGTTAGACGCGTGTGGTGGTCTTACGATCGAGTCTGGGGGACCCGAGCTACCCGGAGTTTATATGCATGTTAGTGGGAGAAGACTGACTGGAGAGGAGGGTTGAAGAAACGTTTGGGGTCGGTAGACGTGACCGTGAGTGAGGTGGGCCGACACTCACCGGGCATCCTTTCCTGGGAACGGTGCACGCTGCTGACAAATGAAAAATTTTCAGCAGGGTCCACTTCTCTCAAGTTTATTCCGCGTCATGATATGAAACTTGCGACCAGCTGGTCATCATGTGACTACCACTTAGGCACTGACTGAGGTCAATTGATTTGCAGGGTTTCATTTCATTAGCAACTGATCATCATCTGTTACTGATATTTCAGACAATAAACGTGAGTTTCAGTTTCTACGCACAAGCCTGAAAAAAGGGAGGTCACGGTTTGGTTCGAAAGATGTACTACAATGTTACATTGCATCAGTTTCAGGTCATAGGCCCCTTTGGTATGGATTCAGCAGCTCGGGCTCCACGTGACAAGTGCACTGTTCTGCTAGTGTTCCGGTACCGTTTGAAAGACCTTTCTCTCTCCTTTCTCCTCGACTCGTAGAGCCGATGGAACCAGTTTTATTTGGCTTCACCGGCTCCAGCTCCTCCGACCTAGGAGCACGTCGAATCATAGACCCATAATATGGTGGTATGGTACCTTCTATTGCGGAGGAACCCACAGATCCCAGTTTTTTCCGGGTCAAAAGAAAGACCCGGCTACACCAAACAAATAAAAAGTTGGAACAAAAATATTGCTAGTATTTTAGGCAACGACCTGCATGGGGGCTGTGCGCTGCGTCAAGTGTCCACGTTTACAGCGCGAAATCACGCAAAACTCAACCGCTGGCGCTGGGAGCGGAACTGGAGAAATAAATAAATAAATAAATAAAGTCGTCAAGGAAGGAACATGCATGGTTTCTCGGTAGTTCAGAAAACAAATAATCCACTTGTCTGCATATGCCAGGCAGGCAGCCTCAACATGCACTGCAGGTCGTACTGAATTATTTCTTTCAGCATATTTTAGGCAAATTGTACGTGGTTAGTTGTTACATTACATTAATGGTGCATTGCGTGAGGCCCTGCACGTTTACAGCGCGAAGTCAAGCAAAACGGATGATTAAATATCGGGTTATTAGTAATGCACGTACGTACGTCTTTGATATATAGATAGATCAACTTGACCGAACTTAAATGATCCAACCTCTGGAGGCTCTTTACGGTATTTTCACCACGCTGGCAGCATGACCTTATATGTTGTGAACCTTATTGGTTGATAGCCAAATTTTGGTTTCTAAAACTTGGGCAAGCCAAGGATTTTGTCTCTGTTTAGTTTGTTGCAAAAAATTTATCAATACCTCACATTTAACTTGTCAACTCTATAGCAAATATTTTTGCCTAACTTTTGGCAACCTTTTGATGCCAAATCTTTGGTTTAGCAAATTTTGGAAGCCAACCAAGTAGGCCTTGTGTTTCCTATCATCCATGTAGCAGCTACCCAACCAATATATATAGGAGGGGTCTTTAAACTTGTTCTGAATTCTCATTTGGATCCTTGTACTTAATTACAAATTGCACATTCAACTCTATAAACTTATTCTAATCTCTCATCCTGATCCCGGTACCTGTAAATTGCACAAACGGCTCTCTAAACTTGCATATTCAACTTCATAAACTTATACCAAGTTCTTATCCCGCTCTAGGTGCTAGCAAAGCACACATTTAGCTCCCTAAACTCGTATTACTATACCATCTAGGTCCATCTCCCTCCCACACATTGCATATCATGTGCCCACCCCACCCGCACAGCTTCGCCGTGGTGTATCATGTTTGTCCACCCACATAGGTGTAGCGCACAGAGCTAGGACATGCAGCAGGAGCTTAGGCAGGATGTGTAGACCTAGCTTTCTAGGACCTGCGGCCATGCCGCTTGGCATCATACCATGCTTGCTCTACCTCATGTCCTAGCCGAGACGTCGCCATTAGGGCGCTTCTCCTCGCTTCTGCTCAACTCACTCACAGAATACATAGAATGTATGCAAATTAAAAATTTCCACACTTTCAAATACTATCAACCTATTAATACGTTTTTATAAGACAACTTCTTATGCACAGACTTGGGCTAGTCGGCTAGTCAACCCACCAAGACATGAGTTGGTTAGTGCCACGTTATAGATAGTGGGACTTCCTAAAGAATGGTTGGGGTGAGGCTATATTGATTGCGACTCATGTCCCGATTAGGTTCCTACATAAAAAAAGAAATAACATTGTTTGAGGATGGGAAAAATAAAAAGTTCAATCTCTCTTACTTACACACTTGGGATTGTTTCCCCAAGATGAATGCGCCAATTAAGAAAGAAGTGCAAGATTGAACCAAAAGTGTGGGTTGTATCTTTTTTAGGCATGCTATACACAATATGGGATATAGGTTCTTAATAATAAACTCTGGAGTACCTGATATGCATATTTGTACAATTAAATAATCCAGAGAAGCTATATTTTGTGAGACTGATTTTCCTTTCAAACAAGCCTAGCTTATCTAATCATGAACCTATTTTATCTCCTAAACAATATGTTCCGATAGAACACAATAAACAAACTAATGTAATCTAAGGAGGATAACACTATAGTTACTCAAGAGAGTATGAGACATATAGCTACAAAGTATTTTTGGTGATGACTACATTGTATGCCTCGTGGATGACATTGCAAGACTCATAGAGGAGGGCGTGTTCACCTCGTGGCACTCACTTTAAGAACAAACATGTATGAAGTGATATGCATTCTATTATGTCTAATGGAACATGGTAGGTCATTGATCATCCTTATGGGTCACTACTACAGAGCAGGCAGTCTGTGGCGGCCCATCGCTATCGGTTTTGGCTTCCACTGGTAGTGATACTACAACCAATAGTGATAGGTGGGCTTTCATTGCTAGATAATGCCACCAACCGAGAGTGATGGTGTCACTATCGGTTTATAACAAGCACCAGCAGTGATAACATCACCAGATCCAAAACTTTATTCAAATGCAGTTAAATCCACGTAGACTCATGACTTAGACTCCTATTCCTCTCCCTTATAATTTCCATCTTCCTCCCTCACATTTCCCCTACCTCTCACACTCACATAATCTCATCACCCTCTCTCTCTCTCTCTCTCTCCCTAAATCTCCTCCCCTCTGCTCACCTCCCCTAGCCTCACCTCAGCACAGGGCACAATCGGGTGGCCCAGGAAAGGTGCACATCGATGGCTGACATGTGCGAGCGTGATAGTGTGGAGGAGTGCAACTGGTGCAGGCAATAGATCTAGTGTCACCGGGTGTTTGTTTTTACTTTTGTGTTTTTTGTTTTGTTTTGTGAAAAATGCGCATCACTTCCATGTAAGCAACTAGCGGTGAATGGCCAAGGCTATCACTATCGAATCAAAATCCAGCAATGAAAGCAGTTTTGAACCAACAATGGTTGATCATTATGGCATAGTGGGTGCAGCCCTGTAGGATCCAAATGGGTGTTCTAGAAAAATCTTAGTCCTGATGGTACGATTAAAAAAATACAAGGCAATACTTGTGGCTAAGGGTTATACAAAAAGAAGGCAAATAAATTTTCAACACTTTTTTACCTATTGCCCAATTCATCACAATTTGTCTTACTTTCCTTAGCAACATCTCATGGCCTTCGGATTCATCAGATCGACGTTAAGACAATTTTCCTTAACGGGGAGCTAGAGGAGGACATCTATATGGATCAGCCAGATTGGTTTGTACCAAAATGTCAAAAGTGAATGATGTGAAAATTGTTGAAGTCCTTTTATGGCCTTAAGAAAGCATCTAAGCACTGGCACGAGAAGTTCAATAGAATTGTAAGTCATTGTGGTTTTTCTAACTACATACCTTTTTGATATGCACCAAGATATACACGATGTTTTTCTCTTGTATCCATGGCAGGAGATGGTGCCTTAGTTGGCCTGCTGATGCTTGAGCAAACCAAGGTATGCTTTCCTCGACATGGTTCCTCCAAGACTAGCATTCATTAGTCCATTATGATGAAATAGGGCGATCAAGTTTCTAAAACCAGGTGGTCTAGTTTCCACAAATACTGCTACAAGATGCACCTATGTGGGTTTCATGTGATGTGCTTGTGTGACTTCCACATGACGTACCCATGTGATGGCACGTTTCAGTGTCGACAAGTGGTATATAGACTGTCCAATGTGCATACAAATTGGCAAGGCAGTTGAAGGAGGAAAGAGTGGACATCGACAAACATGGTTGTCGGTTAAAGAAGACAGGCCTTTATGGATTTATTACTGGAAGACACCAGTGCCTCATGAGATACTAATATTTGGATGGAAAAATATGCACAATAGCTTGGCAACAAATGCTAACCAGAATAATAGAACAATTGAGGTCACAAATACTTGCAAAATATGTGGAGCTAAAGAAGAATTAGGGATGCATGCACTTGTCTGCAGCCCCATATTCAAGTCCTCAAGGAGGCAATGGGATTAAATTGGTCTTTGCCAAGACAAGAAAAAATTATGCAGCTCTCTATTATATTGTTGCTGTGGAAGACATAACATGTACTCCCTCCATTCTAAAGTGTTAGTTGTTCTAACTTTTCTAGACACATAGTTTTACAGTGTATCTAGACATAGCCTATATCTAGGTGCTTAGCAAAGTCTATGTACCTAGAAAAGTAAGAATAACTTATAATTTGGTACTGATGCATTACAAAATAATATAACTCATGATGCTGAAAAACTATCTTTTGCGGGTTCATTTAACTTCCTCCAAAGGTACTAGATGGAACTGTGCTCTCCATCCGACAACCTATAGTACATGACGGAAATTAGGGGAAGCAGCATGTAGATATACTTCTTTGATTTCTGGCTAGCAG